GCACAATCTATAAGAATGCGATTGGCAGACAACAAATCCATCCCTAAGATTATGTCAATATCCATAAAAGCTGGCCATTTCAATATTCATGCCTTAAAGTTTCTACATCAGAAAGGTATGATGAGAGATTTACCCAGCCTAAAGGAAAATAATGAAGCTTGTGAAGGATGCCTTCTCGGAAAGCAACATAGATTACCATTCTCAAGCAGTAATGCATGGAGAGCCAATGACTTGTTGGAGCTAATTCATACAGATGTTTGTGGACCGATGAGGACACCATCACACACCAACAACAGGTATTTCATCCTCTTCATTGATGACTTTTCTAGAATGACGTGGGTCTATTTTCTAAAGACAAAGTCAGAAGTCTTTGGAATATTTAAGAAATTCAAGGCCCTTGTCGAAAAGCAAAGTAGAAAACAAATAAAAGTACTTAGAAGTGATCGTGGCAAAGAGTATACATCTCGCGAGTTTGACAAATTTTGCGAAGATGAAGGCATAGAGCGACAACTTACAATCGCATATACTCCACAACAAAATGGTGTGTCAGAGAGAAAGAATCGCACAGTCATGGAGATGGCGAGATCGATGTTGAAGGAGAAAGGACTACCAAATACATTCTAGGCTGAAGCAGTCTACACTGCAGTCTACCTACTCAACAGATGTCCTACTAAGGCAGTTCGGGACAAGACTCCAATAGAAGCTTGGAGTGGGAAGAAGTCATCAGCTAAGCACCTAAGGGTCTTTGGATCTATCTGCTACATTCATGTGCTAGATGAAAAAAGGCATAAGTTAGAAGACAAGACCGTACGAGGCATATTCTTGGGATACAGTTCACAGTCAAGAGGCTACCGAGTCTACAATCTTCAAACAAAGAAGCTAACAATTAGTAGAGATATTGAAGTAGCTGAAAATGCTACTTGGAACTAGGAAGAAAAACAAATTGAGAAGAAGACTGTATACATGCCCATCAATCAACCAACTACATCAAACCTGGAAGACAACAATCAAGACATTGTTATCTCTCCAGAATCTCCAAGAATAGTTTCACAACAAGAAGAATCATCACTTGAGTCTACTCTGAGACGAGTTAGATCACTAGTAGATATATATGAAACCTGCAACTTGGCCATACTTGAACCAGGAAGCTTTGAAGAGGCAGCAGACCAAGAAGTATAGGTCAAGGCTATGGAAGAAGTGATTAAAATGATTGAGAAGAATATTACATGGGAGCTCGTAGATTGCCCTCATGGAAAAGATATCATTGGAGTAAAATGGGTATATAAAACAAAGCTTAATCCTGATGGAACTATACAAAAACACAAAGCAAGATTGATCGCTAAAGGCTACTCACAACAGCCAGGAGTGGACTACAATGAGACATTTGCTCCAGTCGCACGCCTAGACATAATAAGAGCTTTAATAGCTCTTGCAGCACATAAAGGATGGAACATCTATCAACTGGATGTCAAGTCTGCATTCCTCAATGGCGTACTTGAAGAAGAGATCCATGTGGAGCAACCACCAGGATTCGTGATTAAAGGCCATGAAGGCAAAGTGTTGAGATTGAAGAAAGCTTTATATGACCTGAAGCAAGCTCCTTGAGCATGGCATAGCAAGATCGACCAGTACTTCACTGATCATGGATTCAGGAGGAGTAAGAGTGAGCCTACACTATACATCAAGACTCAAGGTCAGCATACTCTCTTACTCTCTCTATATGTAGATGATCTTATTTACACTGGAACCAATACAAAAATGATGATGGAGTTTAAAGAAGACACGATAAAGACCTTTGAGATGACAGATCTTGGCTTGATGAGTTACTTCCTCGGTATAGAGGTAAGTCAGAGAAGTGATGAAATATTCATCTCACAAAAGAAATATACAGAAGTTTTCTGAAGAAATTTAATATGTACGGGTGCAAACATGTAAGTACACCGCTAGTGACGAATGAGAAACTACAAAAGGTGGATGGAGCACTAGAAGCTGATGCATCCCGATATAGGAGTCTAGTTGGAAGTTTACTTTATTTGACAGCCACACGACCAGACATCATGTTCGCTACAAGTCTTCTATCAAGATTCATGCAAAAGCCAAGTCAAATTCACTATGGAACAGGAAAAAGAATATTGAGATATCTACAAGGCACAAGGGAGTTTGGTATATGGTATAAAACCATGACCAAATCAAGGATGATTGGCTATACCGACAGTGATTGGGCAGGATCAATAGATGACATGAAGAGTACATCAGGATATGCCTTCTCACTAGGATCTGGATTTTTCTCTTGGGCGTCAAAGAAGCAAGCAACAGTTGCATAATCAACAACAGAAGCAGAGTATGTAGTAGCTGCTGAAACTACAAGTCAAGCAATATGGATATGAAGAATACTTGAAGAAATGAGTGAACAACAAGATGGACCGACAATTATATACCGTGACAACAAATCAGCAATAGCAATGACAAAGAATCCAGTTTATCATCGAAGAACGAAACACATAGCCATCAAATATCACTTCATCAGAGAAGTAGAGACAACTAAGCAAATTCAACTTGAATACTGTTCAACAGAAGATCAAGTTGCAGACATATTTACAAAGGCGCTACCAAGAGTGAGTTTGAACAACTACGGACTATGCTTGGAGTTACCGAAATTTGCATCAAGGAGGAGTGTTAAATTATGATGCAAATTCTAGAAAAGAAAAGAGTATTCTAGAAACATAAGATAAGATGTATAAGAAAGAAAAAGAAAATTCTAGAAACATAAGAAAAGTTGTAAAATTCTCTAGAAAAATCTAAAAGAGTGTAGAGACTTGTAGAGTCTAGAAAATTCTAGATAATTCCACCATCATCTAGAGATGGAGCATCATGCCTATAAATAGGCAAATTGGGACTTCATTGTAACATCAACAACATCAACAACAATTACCACAACTACTACTACTCTCTCAATACAAATAAGTTTCTATTATTCCTCCAACTATTCCCTTGACAACTATCATATACTAACAGTGGTATCAGAGCTACGTTCGGTCATCTACTGGGCGTAGAAAAATCACCCAACTACTTCTAAAATTCCCTTCTATACTTATAAACATTTTTCTTTGATCTATGGCCTCCAATACCGTTAATTTTTCATCTGTCCCTTTACCAGTTTTTACTGGTGAAAATTTTGATCTTTGGAAGCTCAAACTAAAGACATACTTTATCTCACAAAAACTGTGGGATATCGTTCAATCTGGTTATACAAAACCAGATAATACTATCACTCTGTCTAAGGAGGAGCAGAAGAAGTTAGAAGATTGTGAACAAAAGGATGCACAAGCACTGTTTGTTCTTCAACAAGCTGTGGGAGAAACTATCGCTAGAAGGATCATGGACGCCGATACTGCAAAAAAGGCATGGGATATTTTGGAAGAAGAATTTGAAGGCAATGAACAGGTACGCTCCGTCAAGCTACACTATCTAAGAAGAGAATTTGAGACCATTAAAATGAAAGAATCCGAGACCATTGAAGAATACTATGGAAGAATAAAAGAAATAGTTAATAAAATGAAATTATATGGAAAAGAAATTAAGGAGAAGAGAGTGGTAGAAAAAATTCTTATCACTCTCACGGAAAAATATGATTCCATTGTAGCTTCCATAGAAACTTCCTCGGATCCATCTTCTCTATCGGTGAATAAATTAATTGGTCTCCTCGGAGCGCACGAAGCAAGATTAAATAGCCGTGCTGATACAAATTCAGTTGAAAATGCATTTCAATCAAAGCTTAAATTACAGTCTAGAAATAAAGAAGATGGAGGAAAGAAAAATGCTGGAGAATATTCTAGAAACAAAGATTCTAGAAATTTCTCTGGAAACAAAAAAGATAAATACCCTTCATGTGGTATTTGCAATAAGCCGGGACATGCAGAAAAAGATTGTTGGCATCGTGGAAAGCCAATATGTCACTATTGCAATAAACCCGGTCACGTGGAGAAGTACTGTCGTAACAAAAATAAACATCAAGCAAATTTTGCCGAAGAGCATAATCAAGAGCAACGTCTGTTCTATGCTAACCAAGAATCTTGTGACAACGGAGATGGAAGCTGGTACTTGGATAGTGGATGTAGCAATCACATGGCCAAGGACCAAAGCATCTTCAAAGACATTGATAACTCCGTCAAAGTCAAAGTTCGACTGGGAAACGGCACCATGGTGGAGTCTCAAGGCAAAGGCACTGTCGTGGTGGAGACAAAGAAAGGTACGAGACTCATCAAAGACGTGTTACTAGTTCCAAATCTTAAAGAAAATCTTTTAAGCATTGGCCAAATGATGGAAAATGGGTATTCTCTTCATTTTGAAAGAGATATATGCAAAATTTATGATAGTAAAAGGGTAGAGATTGGCCAAGTAAAAATGGAGAAGAGAAATAGAAGCTTTCCTTTAAGCTTCAATTGTGGCACTAATCTTGCCATGAAGGTAGAAGTTGATGACTCATGGCTCTGGCATCGGAGATTTGGCCATTTCAATATTCATGCCTTAAAGCTTCTACATCAGAAAGGTATGATGAGGGATCTACCCAACCTAAAGGAAAATAATGAAGCTTGTGAAGGATGCCTTCTCGGAAAGCAACACCGATTGCCGTTCTCGACAAGCAAAGCATGGAGAGCCAAGGACTTGTTGGAGCTAATTCATACAGATGTTTGTGGACCGATGAGGACACCATCACACACCAACAACAGGTATTTCATCCTCTTCATTGATAATAGACGTCTATTTCTTCGTTTGTATGCCCCCCGGACGAAATTGGGTGTCTACACACCCAGCATAGCAGCACATGCATAAGATATAAAGGAATGTGAAGCCCCAGAGTCAAAAAGAATCATCACATCCTTACCAGCAGCTCTACCCTTCCCCTTCACAAGATCTGAGGAAGTAGAAGCTTCAGCCCCAGTCAAAGCGAAAACTCTACCTGCTGTGGTGGGTTTGTCACCCCTCTGAGCATCACCTCTCTAGGCACCACTCCTCTGCGCATCACCCCTCTCTAGTCTACCTCTAGTAGGACAGTTGGTCGACTCATGGCCCATCTGGTGGCATCTGAAACAACGACTCTCAGTGTGCGGGCAATCCTTGACAAAGTGGGGCTCGACACACCTATAGCATCTCAGAGTGGCACCTCCACCCTGCCTCCCTCCACCTGCAGCACCAGAAGGTTGTCTAATAACATGACTCCCTTGTTGAGGTTGGGGCCTATCATACGGCTTCCTCTGGTTCCCGCCTTTCTTGGACCCAGCTAGTCCCTCAGCAGTCTTCACCCCGCAGTTACCACCTTCCAACCGCTCAACTACCTTCGCCTTCTCCACTAAGGCTGGAAACTCTGTGATGGCCATAGGCACCACCACCCTCTTCAGATCATATTTCAGACCCTCCGCAAACGTCCGACATTTCCAGGCTTCAGCTATACCTTGCGAATAAAAACGAGCCAAGTGCTCGAATCTCATCGCATATTCAGAAACAGTCATCCCTCCTTGGTGTAACCGCATGAACTCAGCTTCCTTGGCATGCCTCACACTCTCGAGGAAATACTTCTCCAGGAACATCCTCTTGAAGCATTCCCAGTCAACAACCACCCCTCTGGCGGTCAGCATGTGATGGGTACCTCTCCACCAATGCTCTGCCTCCCCAACCAGCATATATACAGCATATGTCAACCTCCTCTCCTGTGAACAGCCCAGCACTATAAAAATCTTCTCCAGCTCACGAATCCAGTGGTCAACTACCTCTAGATCTGCATCTCCTCTGAACTGTGGAGGATGGCACTTCCGGAACTCGGCTAGGTCCTGGCTCTCCAGTGACCCAGTGGGCCTTGCTGCACCAGCCGCAGCTCTATCCGCCTCTACCCTAGCAAAATAGGCATTCTGTTGCTGCATAGCCATGGCCATCATCTCCATGGCAGGGCTATCTGTTCGTTGGCTCTAGACATTGTCTACAAAAGTAACAACATCTTTAGTACACAATAACTAGACCAAACAGAAATCAACAGAACAACAAACATCACATCAATCAGCACAACAACAACACAGCAAGACAGCACAACACAGAGTTCAGCACAACAAAAGCTTAAAGGAACCACCCCCAAAGAGTGTCCACTAGACTCGAACTGCTCTGATACCACTAAAGTGTAACGACCCGGCTAGTCACTAAACACGGCACGACACACTAGAAACACCACACAGAAAGGAACAAGTGTATACATATAGGGTCTAGAATATATACATATACATGATCCAAGTATGGATAGAGTTAAAGTGTACAAAATACATCAAAGCCTACACTACTGGGTAGCTAAACAACAAAAGATCTAAAGGATCAACTCCGCATGCCCGCTACAGACTCACCATTAGCCACCAACCTATCCCTGATCTGCTCCTATACATAGAATGATCATCACATTTCAAACATCATGGAAACAACAAAGGGTAAGCTAGTGTAAAGAAATCAACATACATATATAACAATATGATAGAAAACAGCTACAGCTATCAGCACATCCGCACAGCTTATACTACACCACAGCAATTCAGCAACATCAGCACCGCTTAGCGGTAATATCAGCATCGAGTTAGCGGCTATAACAGCACCACTTAAGTGGCTATAACAGCACCGCTTAACGACAATAACAGCACCGACTTAGCGGCTATAACAGCACCACGATAGTGGCTAATAACAACACCGACATAGCGGCTAGAACAGCACCACCATAGTGGCCAAACACAACATACAACTCAGCATTTCACGGCACAGCACAACAAATCAGCATACAACACGGCTAGTAGTATTCAACACAGCCTACTACTCACAACTTAGCTCATCATTCTAGAACACAACAATATTCATCAATTATAATACAACATTTAAAATCATCAATAACAGCCCAGCTCAGCATAGTATTATACATCTATTTCAGCTTAGTTCAGCATAAAACAACCTCCCTCAGCAATTTCAGCAAAGTTTAACAGCTAATAGCACATCAATTCAACATCCCCATGCGCGCCCAACGCACCCATGGTTGCGCCCGGCGTGGCACATCCAAAGGGCACCAGGGGCCAGCACGCCCAGCGCAAGACTGCTCGCGCCCGGCGTGACCCCTCACGCGCCTGGCGTAATTTAGAATTGGGCCCAGCGCTTGCCAGGCAGAGACTCCATGGAGTCTCACGCGCTCAGCGTGCCTAGGCCTGCGCCCAGCGTGGGGAAGGCAGAGACCTCCCCTTGGTATCGCGCCCAGCGCAATTTGAATTGCGCTAGCGCCCTATTGGCAGAGACTCCCAAGGAGTCTCGCGCCCAACGTGACTAGGGTCGCGGTCAACGCAGAATCACCGCCCAAAAACAAGTCACATACTGCCTGCACGCTCGGCGCGATCCCTGACCCGCCAGGCGTGGGCCAACCAGAGGCTCACCTTCTCAAGCTCGCCCAGCGCACACATCTTTGCGCCTAGCGGGCTTGTCAAAAAGGAGCCCCCAGGTTGTCACGCGGTCGGCGCGAAGAACCGTGCTCAACGCGAGGCTCAGCAGCAACCTATCAAGTTTGAAATTTTGCCCCAAAACCTGCAAAAACTTATAGAAAATCCACATGCAAACGGTTCAAAGCATGACATTTTCATCAAACAACCCGAAAATAACAGCTTTTACAACATGCATCCATCCATCATCAAAATCCCCAAATCGTACTTTACTCAAATTGATCACTTGTAATCGGTATAACTCGGCCTGACCCCTATATCGTGGTCGCTTCATACACGTGTGCCTCGACCTTGCCCACACACGGGACTAAGCAAGTCGTAGAGGAGAATAACACATCATCCACTCCAAGGACAACTTTCCAAGGAGGGTTTTTAAACAAATTGGACTCTTAGAACACCACAACTATCTCAATCTGCACAATGGGATGAGCAACTTTGAAAATTTCTCCTCTAGTCCTAGTGATCAACAACTCATCACAACATTATATATAACTTGAATGCAACAACCCACGCAACATCAACTAATGCGTCGTCACGCATATACAACTAGGAGATCTCCTACAATTGAGGTTGAGTAGTCTAGGTGACATAAACCGTACCGAAACCAATGTTTGAACTATCTCAACCAGGTCAAGTATAGGGCAACGTTAGGAACTCCGAAGAGAACAAGGTATAGACAACAATAGGCGATTACTCAAGTGTACCACTTAGACTTGGAGGTCCAGTACTATTGTCAAGGTAGAAGGGTTTGGGTATGGGCCTACCACGACCTTGGCTTGCATAACCAATCTACATATCCCTACAAGAAAAATGCTAATTTTTTACATTTTTTTTCCGACGGATTTAAATCTGTCGGAAAAAGTGGTGTCAGAATAAAAAATCCGTCAGAAATAATTTAATCCATAAAAAATTTTCGACAGAAAATTCCGTCAGAAATTATATATATATATTTTTTAATTTTAATAAATTTATTAATGTAACAACCCTCATATTTGGCCTCTCAAGGGTTCTATTTCACGACATTTCACTTTTTAGCGTGTTTTATCCTTATTTGCGCAATTTCTGGGAAACTTCCCAGAAGGTCACCCATCCATATACTACACCAGGTCAAGCATGCTTAACTGTGAAGTTCTGATGAGTAAGCTACCGAAATGTATATGTATGTTGTCAGTGTATAACTTGTACAAATTAATTCATTTAAGTCATCCTCAAATATACAATCTCATACTTGTACTATAATAATAATATATAATAATTTTATATTACGAATAATAATAATAATAATAATAATAATAATATATTTAGTTATTCTTTATTTATATGTACTTACTTTTATAATTAACATCTACTTATTTCTATTTAAAATTATAATTTAAATTATTTAATTTTATAATTTATAATGATAATATAATTTATAAAATTATAAATATTTATTTATTACATACTTATAAATTAAATTTTAATATTTTAAATAAATTATTAATTAATTTAATATATTTATTTACCTTAAATCAAACATATAAAATTCAAAAAAATGTATTTATCCTTGTTTTATTTTCTAATTATCAACCATTAATAAAATACTAACTTAAAATCTTATCTAATATTAATATACAAAAATATTACGATCATATAGTAAATTGTCAATAAGATTTTAGTTAAATAATTTAAAATAATTAATGTTTCAATTATATTGTTAATTAGCAAATAATATATTCTAAAGTTAATTAATTTTTTTATATTAATTATTAGTAAAATTTAATAACTTTTAATTTAACAATTAATTGGATGGATGAAATTCAACACACACCATGAGTTATTGAGTGGAATAACTTTTCCAAGAGTTATTTTGTAAGTTATCTTAAATCAAACATATAAAATTCAAAAAAATGTATTTATTCTTGTTTTATTTTCTAATTATCAACCATTAATAAAATACTAACTTAAAATTTTATCTAATTATATCATAATAATTTCATATCAAATTTAAAATCAGTTCTTACATTTTCAACAAATATAAATTTATCGGAAATATTCCATCAATAATATAGTTTTTTCTACAAAAATATTTTTCATCAAAAATATAAATTTTCCGATAGATTTAATTTTGTTTTATAAGAAATTATCTTTGATTAATATAACATTTTGTATATATGATTTAAAAGTAAAATTTTTTCAATTTAACGGTTGGATTTACAAAATTCACATTTAATATAAAGTTATTAAGCGGTGTAATACTTAATAAAATTTACACCAGTGTAATTATAACCCCCCTCATATTTAAAAAATGAAAAAAAAAATCTTTTACAGAAACTAAAATCAAAACTTATTAATTTTATAAAGATTAAAAACATATTTAAGTCATTTTTAAAAGATAAAATTGAAGAAAAATATTTTTTAAAATTAAAATTAAAATTTATTCATTTTATAATATTAAAAATAATATTTATAAATTTCAAAAAAACGATCATCGGATTCCCGAAGGTCGAACAAGGGACATTAGGAAGTGTGCTACGGTCTAAAATTTTTCAATGGAAACAAAAATCTGTCAGAAGTTTTTGACAGAATCTTCTGTCGAAAATTTTTGACAGAATTTTTGTCGAAAAATTCTGTCAGAAATTTCCGGCAGATTTATATTTTTGACGAAATTTTCCATTGTAAATTTTTTGTCAGAAATTTCCGACGGAATTATATTTTTTTTGAAAATTTTCGTCGGAAAATTACGTTAGAAATTTCCGGCAGAAATATAAATCTTTCAGAAATTTCTGACAGAAATATCTGTTAGAAATTTTTTGTCAAAAAATTTAGATTTTTTGACGGATTCATATTCGTCAGAAATTTTCCATCGGAAATTTGAGTTTTTCTTATAGTGTATGGAGTTAGCCCACCTACTGCCCTCCAAGTACCACGCACCCTCCGGTACCTAGTCAAAGGCTACATCTCTAACTAGATACCTTACTCAAATTGGTCATTCAACTAGGACATTGATCAAGTACTTCCATGTTGCCCACATAGTACTAAGGGATTCAACTTTAAAACAACTTTCAACTCATCACCTTATTATTATGTATCTCAACATATTACATATATCTTCACCATATGTCCCCAACTTTTCAACTTTACAACAATAGACAACTTTACAACTTTACAACAATAAGCAACTTTAGTCATGAAAATATCAACTTTACGACTACACAACTATAGAGACCCTTCATTCAACTCGACAACAATAGTCATCTTGATACTTTAAATCAACTTAATGCAACTTAACAACTTTACAACAATAATCTACTTCAACTTATACATCTCGAATTATTAATAATTCAACGATAAGTAACATGTAAACAACTTAGTTTCATCAACCACACAACATATAAACAACTTAAGCCAACAACTACTCAACTCATCTTCATCAGGCAACTTAACAACTT